AGTGCCGAATGAACGTCGATGGTGAGGACCGGAGGGCTGACTTGGTCATCGCTCCGGTTTTTCTTCTTGGCCTCGATGTCGAGGCGGGCATCGGGGGCATTCTGCTGGATCTGAAGGCGTAGGTCGACAGCCGCCTGTTCCAGCCCAGCGATGACACCACCCTCGGGAGCCCTGTGAGAGGCTTCGGGGGCGTTGACGTCGCCGAGGGCCAGGTTCTTGTCTTCTACGTTTTTGGAGTTGGCACGTGTTGTTCTCACCATTTTGGTAGATGGCTAGTGTTTGGCGAAGTGGGAGGGTTTCTTACTTGATCGTTCGAGCTCTCAACGAGAGCACCAAATGATGGATAGTGTACCCGAGGGGTAGCTTATCCGGGGGGTTATTGCGGGGAATAACAAGAGAGAAGTCAGAGCCAGTAAATATAGAGAGAGAAAGTGTATTTAGCAAGTATGCAGCGTTTATGACTTGGTTACAAATGGGGAAATGGGGTGCTATTTATAGTAGCAATAAATGCCGGACAGGGACACGTGTCAAGCGCCCATTGACCGAGAGGTCATCTCAACTGGTTGGCGCTGGCAGCCGCATGTGGCCGCATTTAATGCGGCTGTTGGATGGGACGTTTGTACAGGGTACGGTGATCTGTACGCATGTGGCGCGGATATTATGTCGGGGGAAGTGTCCTCGGCTGCAGAGGACTAACCGAGGGCTCTGAGTGCCGGGGACCCCCTGGGTTCCGAGGGCTACTGTTTTCCGCCGTTTTTCTCCCAGTTTCTTAGTTTGCTTGAAAACCCATTCTGTGAGAGTTTTGAGCCTTCGGCCAGGGGGGCGAAGGCTCCCCAGTATGCGCTGTGGGCTGCTAAGTGCTTGAGGCGCCGTAATTTGGGGCCTGCTGTGCTTCCTGGGCCGATTGGGCCTTTATTGGTGTAGTAGGAGTCTGTGGGCCGGGGTTCCCGGGCCATATACTCCATCAGTTAATAAAAAACGAAAGGAGTATTAAATATATTTGACAAAGTCCAATTCAAATCTGAAATTAAAATACGAGTATTTTAATAAACTTTAAATCAGCCCGGCCCACAAATCCCACAATACTGTATCTTAAATCTACCCAGTTCAGTAGCTTAATCCTAACGTATCTAAACTCTACTCCCTCCTTCGGCCGCCTCATTCATCCGGAGCACCTCTCAAGCCATCTTGTGTTCTTCCGCTGACCGTCGTCCGTGTGGTATCGACAGATGTTTGATTATTCCGGCTGAAGTAAAACCGAAGAATCTCAAACCACGTCTACTATCGTTTCCTGATTTTGGTTTATCCCCTGCATCCTCGTCGTCTTATTGTGATTTTCTTGAACGGTTAGGTAATTGAATTTCTTTATCAGTTTGTCCATGCATACACTCGTTATTGTGATTATTTACATGTATAGTTGCATATGATTTGGCCATAAATTGCATGTTTAACAGATTTAAATTGTATCTGTTTTTTATAGCAACAAAATACCTCTTTCATAGATTCATTTACCTAACCGTTCAAGAAAATCACAATAAGACGACGAGGATGCAGGGGATAGTGTATAACAAGAGAGAAGTCAGAGCCAGTAAATATAGAGAGAGAAAGTGTATTTAGCAAGTATGCAGCGTTTATGACTTGGTTACAAATGGGGAAATGGGGTGCTATTTATAGTAGCAATAAATGCCGGACAGGGACACGTGTCAAGCGCCCATAACAGCTATTGATTTTGTTATATAGGATGTCTTCGTTTAAATCCTAGATAAGAAATGACATTGTATTTTGGATACATCTATGCAGATTTTTTTTAATTGGTTAAATGGTCTGTGATGCGTGAAATATATAACAATTACACATATTTCAAACGGATTAATTTAAAACTTACTTCATCCATAGTTTTTGTTAGTAAACATATCCCACAAATTTCCACCTATGCCAATTTGTGGAAATGATGTATACATATTTGTGTTTTTAAATGCCAACATTTGTGAAATTCTGGATTTAACCTGGCGGCTATTGATTTTGTGATATAGGATGTCTTCGTTTAAATCCTAGATAAGAAATGACATTGTATTTTGGATACATCTATGCAGATTTTTTTAATTGGTTAAATGGTCTGTGATGCGTGAAATATATAACAATTACACATATTTCAAACGGATTAATTTAAAACTTACTTCATCCATAGTTTTTGTTAGTAAATATATATTTTTAAAAGGTCACTATAACAGTTAATTTAAGAAAAAAAAGCAGTAAATTGAACTGTCCAAAAGTTTGTAAATTGACATTTAAATGACGAATTGACATTTAAATTTCCAAAAGTTTGACATCCAAAAGTTTCTATACCAAAAGTTTTTACTTAAAATAATATAAGTTGAAAACGACATTTAACTTGCTAGATTAGAGCAATAGCTTGTAAATTGAACTGCCTAAACTACTTGAAGCATAATACCAATGCTTTTATTCAAGAAAATGTGTGAAACGTTGTACTTTATTGAAAACGTGTGAGTCTGCTCTTGAAACCTTTGGTTATTGCTAAGTATAGATGAACCCTATTAAAACAACATGAAGTTCTATTTGCATAATTTTCGAAGAGTTTTAAGCATATATTATACCTCTTAATAATTGAAAATAGCTTCTAGTGTATCCCCTCTCCTAAAATGTGGTTGAACTTCAAAGATATGTACAACTCCCACTTTTAATTCCGAAGCAATGTTGCTCTGAATGCCTAACTGATTAAGATGTATGTATATATACTACAAATTTGAACTGCTCTGAATATCAATGTTCATTTACCCTCGTATGTTAAAGTTCAGTTCGGTAGTACCTGCATACTATACTATCATATAATATAAAGTGTATTTTATTTAATGGTTTGAATACATGGACACTTTCTATGAAAACAATTTAACTATGACTTCAATACCTCTTTTTAAAACTGATTAATCATGTTTTCTTGAGACTGTAATTTCTTCATGTTAAATTGAAGTGCTTCAATATTTGAAAAAATATTTCCGAAGCCTAAATTCTGAAAATTGTTTGAAAGATTCAGTTTTGTTCAAATCCAATTCATTAGAAAATGGAATTTATAGGAATCAACAAAACAAATCACTTTTTTACAACATTTTTGTAACTTTTTAAGAATTAACAAAACAAAACACTTTTTAAGGATTTTATCTTCGATATTTATACCATCTGATTTTACTTCTATGTTCAATTTAAATTCATTTGAACATATTTTGTATTAACATTTTTGTGATGGATCAAATGCTATAATAAGTTTAATATGTTTTATATATAAAATACCATAGACCCTTAGTATGAAGTGTTTATTTTTCATTGTTAAATACATACTTTTTGCTTTTAACTACAATCAAAGGCAGATTGTTTACAAAATAAATTGTCCACTGTTCAATGTTTAAACTAAGTACTAGGTACTTGTAATAAGTAATCTAAATGTTTTTCTTTCTTTTTGGTAAAAAATAAATCTGTTTTTCAAAACATGCCTTATCTGACTTTAAAACAACATGTCCTATGTACCTTAATGTGTTTATTATTAATGTTTGGACATTCAAGTATGGTTGTTGATCTGCTACACTCAAAATATTTGTTTTGAAACCCTAATGATATATATACCTATATACCAAAACAGACTTAATTTTACCTTTCAGGTTACCTTTTGTTGTTAGCATTGTTTCTGGGTGTTTGAGAAACACACTTTCCCAGAATTGTGCCAATGATATCTGTGTTTATCAAACTGTTAGAAAGAATAGGAAACCTGAGATAAACACTACTAAACAAAAATGAATTTCTATTAGCATAATTTCTTATAAGAGTTTAAATCATATGATTTATATCTTCATCATTGGATACTACTTCTAAGGTCTCACCCTCCTGCCAATATCTGTGATTGTTAACCAAAGATGAACTCCTAAAATTACATTAAATCTTATTCGCATAATTTTCAGAAAAAGTTTTAAGCACTCCACATATCTTTTCATCATGCCAAATAATTGTAATGTATCCCCTCTCCTGAAATGCAGTCAAACCTCAAAGACCCATGCAACTCTCACTTTCAATGTCAATGTTATAATGTGTGTTGTTCTGGATGTCTAACTGATTATGTTGGCCGTATATATATATATATATATATATATATATATATATATATATATATATATATATATATATATACACTACAAATTTGAACTACTCTCAATTTGTATGATAATTACCCAATGGGCAATAGCATGCAATTTCTTTTAATTTGAATTGACATCTCCTAGTGCCCAATAAATTTGTACTTGAGAATCTGAATAAAGTAGATTTGCCTTATTATAGGCAACCAACTTTAATTAGAACAACTCAAAGGCCGTAACTATGATTATACAAAGGACAATAAATGTGTGATATCCGGATAATAGGTGTGTAATGTGTATTACATGCCCCTGCAGCAGCATGCATTCATCATTAATTTTGCATTAAATGAATTGTACTTTTTATTGAGCCTCCCACCTTGCTCTCTTGATATTGGGTATTACATTAAATGTAGTACTCCCTCCGATTCCTAAACAAGTTTCACATTTGACTTCACACATATTAAGAAAATAAATTTGACTTTACTATGGAGTGCACTGCTTGACACTGTTTGAACACTGTTTGGCACTGTTTGAACACTGTTTGACACTGTTTTGATGTAGATAATAAGGAAATGTTTGAAAGTGGAACTTAATTTTGAATCTACCCGAAAAGGAAAGGTGGAACTTGTTTCAGAAACGGAGGGAGTACTATTTTGGGCATCAAAATCTGGGAAAACTTAGAAACCCGACCCGACCCACTGCAGACCCAACCCGACTCATTAGTGTGATGTTTTAGAGCGGGAACACTGTTCACAGATTACTGTTCATGGTTACAGTAGACATTTTCCTTTAGACATTTTCCTCGTGTTTTTGTATAATAGAAGATGTACAAGTTATAAGCAGTGCTTTTGATTGATGGTTCTTATTTGGTACACTAATATAAAAAATTTACTTTTTCCAAAGAGATGCAGAAAATATTTTTTTACTTCTCCTCTCCTCTGTTATAAAGCATTTCTCCATTTTTTACTTCGCTAGGGTTTTCTTGATCCTCTGTAACACAGCGGCGTTGAAATGTCACTCTCCCGGTATCTTTCACGGAAACCCCTTACCACCCCAATCTTGGAGATCCACCATCTCCGATCATTTTCCACCACCGCCGCTCACCCGACGGCGTTCCATAAGAACCAACACCCACAGAACCACAGCTTCCTGCCGCCAAACGAGTACCTGAACTCGTGGAAGCCCCCGAAGGATCCCAAGGAGGCAGAATCCAAGCTCGCCCTTCTTCGCCGCGACTATGCCAAGAAGGTCAAGGAAGTTCGTAAAGAGTACATCAAGGAGGTGGAGGTCATGCGGCTCGAAAAGGTGAGAAAAGCTGAGGCCAAGAAGGAAGCTCTACGGATCGCCAATGAGGAGCGGAAGGCTGCTAAAGCGGCTGAGAAGAAGGCGAAGGCTGAAGAGAGAGCGATTTTTGAAGAGCGATTCCGCCAAACCCTCGTAAGTGAATTTACTGCCATAGATTTGCTGAATATGAACTACCCAATCATAGTGGGAGTAAAATTCTTACAAATTGTTGTGAATTTGATTTTCTGATTCCCAGTAGAAGGGAAAACCAATACGTTGTTACTTCAAGGGTGTTGTATCTTGGTTTGCAATAACTCAACCCAAAGGTGTACAAAATGGTAAGAAATGATACAGGAAGGGCAATCTTAGGAGGTAAAGAGGAGCAAGCCTCCTTGAAGCATTTGAAGACTTCAATTAGTCCTATATGGTGTTGGATGCCCAAGAATTTGTGTCTAAAAATGCTCGAATCGATAGTACAAAAAATGATACTATCTTAAGCTGATACTCGTACAAAAAATCATTAAGCTGATACTACAAGCTATCTTTAATTCTATGTTTTTTGAACTTTTCCCACCCTGCCATAGATGTGACCAGGGTACAAGCTTTTCATTTCTGTCTAAGTACAGCTTTTACAAAACATAAATGATACTTATATCTTAGAATTTTTTTATGGTTTACCTAAACTTAGCAAGCTTTGTATTGACGTATTAAACTGGGCTACTCTGTTTTGGCAAATTCCCTGAAAATTTATCGTCATTTTTTAAAAAATTGTTTTTATGGGATGGTAATAGTACTAGCTATGAATGCATAATATGAAGTGAGATTTTTTTGGTATGCTGTGAATTTAAGAAGTGGTGTAGAAATATAGGGATCATATGAGAAATTTCTAATGCAGAAATCTCCATTCATGCCTAAGGCTTAGAGACAGTGGAAGGAATTAGAAAGCTTGATCAAACTCTAGCTTATAGATTTTGATTGGTAACCTCATCATCAGGTAGGAAATTGAGAACTCACAAGACATTAGCAATACTAAAGAAATAAATAAGCACTGTGAATTCCTGGAAGCTGTTCATCTACTGTATATTTTGTAATCGCATGTGTTGTGTAGTTGATAAGTAAAAAACTGGAAAATTATTCCCCAATAATGAAGAGGTTCCAACTCCTATTCTCCTCGCTGCTTTTAATATATCTTGCAAGGAACATGGTTCCTGTTATATGCAGAATGAAAAGGTTTGGTTTTCTTAATTTATGGGACTTCTTTGTTTTTGAGGAGGAGGATTGTGTGTGAATTTGTTTCATGCTGTTTGCAGCTAAAAGAAAGACAAGAGAAGCTTGAATATTGGAAGATGAGAGAAAAAAAGTTTGAAGAGAAAAAGAAAGAGAAGATGGAGCTTTTGCGTAAAAAAAGCTCCTTGTGGATTGATGAGAATTTGTTGGAGCCAAAGGCATTTGTGGGCTCTGTTTGCCCTTCAATTAGGGAGATGAAAGAGATCAAAAGATAAAGTTCCCCCCCCAGATCTCTTGTGATCGATGTGGAAGAGTATATCTATAAGGGGTTGATTGTGTTCATGTAGTAATACACCAATGGTTTGGAAGTGAACAGAATGCAATGAAGTTTCAGATAGAATCAGGTGCAAGTGTGTACAATCAACTCCAACTCCCCAATGACATGCTTAAAAAGCATTTTTTTTCACGTGTTCCTCTATACTAAGCTAATGCTCTATATACAAATGACCTTGTTAAAACTCTTGTCTTCATGGTTTTAATGAAGTGAATTCGTGCGGCTGAGATGTATTTGAAGAAGGATGAATAATTATAAACTGAAAATCTTTCCCTAGAAAGAAGAATGAGGTGATTTGTATATTCACTTGACCACAATTAAATCACGTCAGGAAATATGTTGTCGAGGAAAGTATGTTCTTGTTTCTTGCATTTCGCATGGTTAATAAGAAGCAATAACAACCTATGGCCGCAGCTGCTTAAGTGGATTGAGGTCATAATGTCATATTGTTACTTTTTACAATCAACATTTTGAATTATCATTGTGCCTTTATTAGTGTACTTATCAGTCAGTTATCACTTATCAATAACTTGCTACCTCAAGTGCATTTTTTTTTAAATACCTCAAGTGAGTTAATTGTGACCTTACATTAGAAAAACAAAACGCACCTTGCCAAAGTAAATCAGGTGTCAGTGGGTGTAAGGTAAATAAATAAAGTAAAATTTGCTAAAATGGAAGTCAGCCCTTTATTAGTATACTAGCGGAGTTTAGTATACTAGCGGAGTTCGCACGTATCGTGCGAATAGTGCCCAACAATTGTATTTACTCACAAAATTGTTGTCTAATAATCTCAATTGAACTAATAATATTCAATTCTATAACCTGTCATTCTTTCTTTAATGTGCAAAACTCAAGTATTTCTTGACTATTTCAATAAAAGTAAGTAATATGTTATGATAACATAACAGTAAATTAGTCACAACTAATTTTATTTGACTTTTGTTACGGATTTGCATGTAGGTATATGCATTTCTTGTATGATAACTTTGTTCAATATATTTCATTTTTATATTTCTTTTTCCCTCTACTTTTTTATACTACGTATATGTTATTATTACTTTAAGGGGTTATGATATCTATTTTCAAATTTTATAATGTCATTTAGAATCGTGAGATGGACCTTGGATCTTATGTTTGCACTATGAAGAATTGAAGATGAAATACATTGTTATTATCTCTAAGTCATAAGAAATAAAACCAAAGTATTACATCTAAGAACCTACCTTTGAAGTATTTGAATTCCAATAGTGGTAGTTCTATAGTTTACATGTAAAGGTCATACATGCAACCTTTCTTATTTATTGTAATTTGTAATAGACATCCTAAATAGTTAATATGGATCATACTTATAAGTCTTGAAATACACTAACAATTATTCATAAATAACCTTGACATATCTTTACAAGAACCTAACATTTTTGTGTTTCTTTCCGTTGTTTTTGGCAAAGGTTGCTGAAACAGATTGAATGTCCTGAAATTGTGCTTCCTGGCGTTGCGATTCGTTGTTTTCCTCCACGAAGAGCTTCGTCTTAGCTTCTTGGGAACTTGTAATCCCTTTATCTGGAACAACGTTGTTTAGAGAACCACTGTTTGTAGGAATATCTGCAGGCGAAGAAAGACAAGCACAGAGGAATTTTTCCTACCCTTGGAGTGTGCATTTGAACGTCCTAGTTTAAGTGCAATTGTGAAAGTGAGGGCTTTGACTTTATAATCAATTGGCCGCAGTCAATACGATCCGGAGTCTCATAGATTTGAAGCACACGCAACAACTTAAACACTTCATTGGTGAATAGAGTGGTGTCTAGCACACTGGTAGCATCATAAATATTAACACCTAACCCAAACCTGTTATTGGATAATATCAAGTTTTTGGATGTAGATACAATTTCTTAAGAAAAATAATAAAAAATTGGAATACATACCTCTTTGAGGTGACCCTATTTTTGTTACCACAATGCAAACATTGAAAATGAACACCTTCAACTGAGTTAACTGTTTTGTTGCAGCCATTGCATTCGATGTAAAATGGAATGTGTCCAGTTTCCAGAAAAGTCAAGTTCCCTTAAAGGCTTGAATCCAAAAAACTCTAGCTTGTACGTTATAGGGAACAATGAAGTCATGAAGTCATTTCATCCAGATATTTCCTAACAAACTAACTTAGAACAATTGCTAATTGGGAGTATAGACGACCTCATCAAGGGTTTCACAAACATTTGACTTGTTTTGCGTATGAGGTTGTCCAAAGCGAACAAGTGATTCAGACTGAATTTCATTTACATCAGACTGAATTTCATTTACATCAGACTGATGTCAAAAAAAACTATGACTATATAATTATATATCATTCTAAGTTTGTGCTCTTGATGGCAATTGAACTATTGATCTTTTGGCTTTTGAATCTTCACATAGGGGAGTAAACCCAAAAAGTATTTGACGATTGGATCCCATCCCCGTTGCTGAGCAAGACAATACATCATAAATGTGTTGGCAAAATATGAGTTGAACCCCATCATCACGTGCCACATTGCATGACCCTGTGGATTGAAGGGCCATGTCGAGATATCCTTGCAAAACATGCCATCTAATAAAAAGCATGTGGTCCCAACCAGTAAAGTGGCCACATACACTTTGGCGAGATGCTTAGCTAACGTGTCTTTTGTGTGAATGTAATATTTGTACGCCCAAGGAATGCAAAGAAGGCAGAGTAATGCATAGTGCACCTTGAAGACAATCGCAAAGCGAACCTGTGAATGTACAATGGCAAATGATGCACCATATAGGAACAAAAAGGTAGGCATATTGCTCTTGTAGTGCCAATATGATGAATAGAGAATGTACACATAAAGAAGCATTTCCCACACCATTGGTGTCTCATCACCTTGTTGTTGCTTGTCAAATATTAAGATCTTCAACTAACAAGATCATTAAACACAGTTTCACTCTAAGAGAAATGCTAAAGGTACCCCAAAATGGGGTATCCCAAAATGGGGTACCCCATTCTTACCCCGCCCTAATGTGTGGCCATAAATGGGGCAACAGATTTAAGTGGTGCCCCACTTAAATGTGTTGCCCCATTTATGACTACACATTAGGTCTTAGTAACTGGTAAGATTGGGGTACCCCAAAAATAGCATTTCTCTCACTCTAAATGTCTCCATAGCAACCATTCTAGTTTTGTCACCATTTAAAAAGGAATCTTGTCAATTGTCATGTCTAACCGCGTCAAATATTTCTTGTATCAAGTTATAAAAAATGAAACGGTACAATCACTCCATTCCCATTTATGCAAGATATTGCCATCAAGAAGTTGAAATATTCCAAGGAAAAGAACTCCTTATAAAATCAATATCATTGTTTATGCAAAGTTCCACTGAAAAAATGTAATAAGCTTTTGCATCATGTTTGAAAAACTGTTAAGATTAATGATAATTGATAATCAGATGTCAAAAAATTCATCGAAGTCCAAAACGCGGGCAGAAACTCAATGTAAGACACAAAAATGGAGAAGCTCTTACATTCGTTGCAACGATGCATGATAAAACATGCTTCCTATGGAAAGAATCATGTTTGATATGTGGAGGACGCTAAACCTTTTTTCAAATCGATGGTGTAAGGCATTCACAAGGCCAATGAGAGCCAAAATAATGCATGGGGTATTTGAGACGGTATTGAAAAACTCTGCAATATAAGATGAGTAGACATAGTTTGGTTCACACCATTCTTTAGAAGTCACATGGCCCCAAAAACTTGATATATTCTTTGTCATTGTTCAGAATATGACCTGAATGAAAATCCGTACGAAATTAATTGTCAGCAACTATTTTCCAAAACTTGCATAACAAACAAAGTTAAGGATAGAAACCGTAGTGAATACTCATGGCTATGCCTTGGCCTAGGGAAATTCTAAAAACCATATTATCTATTAATATCTAAAAGCAAAATGTTTTTTGGAGTGGAGTTCCCGCTCAAAACTATCAACATCAAATTAGGTTACTTAATAAATTGCAAAGAAGAAAGCAAATTGTGAAAATAAATATATATTCATCAGTTTTTAATGATGAGATATTTTTATGCGTATAGATTTCCTATAGATACAGTGATGATGTTGATTACACATGCCCATGTTGACAGGATATGTACAGTGATGTTGATTACACATGCCCATGCTGCCGGGCAACCCATTCGCTTAGGAGAAATAATTTTTTGGGAAGTCCCAGAGAATGTTAAAATCAATATAAAAAGAGAAATATCTTGAGAAAGATTTACAAAGCCCATACATGGGAGATGACGTGCAGCTTTGGAAAAAAGATGAGATGTTACGGAAAAATGAATATCAATTTTATGCGTGTAGTATACTCATTCAACTTTTTAGGCAACATACAGTACTCGCAGGTTGCCCATACAACATTGCGTCTATTTTTAGGCAACCATATTCTTGAATGCAAAATTTGGCTATAAAAGCATACTTCTATCATGGATTCCTTACAGTGGCTCGCTGCACAAAGCTCCCATTGCAAACTCTAGAGTTTTTCTCTCAACCATTTTACTCCCATTTTACTTCTATTTTACACCCATTTTACTCACAAATTTGGCTATAAAAGCATACTTCTACCATTTTACTCCCATTCTACTCAAAAATTATGTGCGGGAAACAAAGAGGTTTGTTGAATGTAAAAACAGTCTTGATACTTTGAATGTAAGAAACATTCTTTATACTTCGATATTCTTTATACTTCGGTTTATGCGAGTGTGTGTGAATGTGAGACTGTGAGTTAAGTATTCAAAACAAAAGTGTGTTAAGTAACCATTTTCCCAATTCAAATGTTTCAAAGATTTCATGTAAACTGTTTTGTTGGGTGATATGGATTTAAACAACAAGAATACTCAAAGGAGTTGATGCAAAAGAGAGATATCTATTTTCCATTTGAAATTATAAATAAGAAAAAATGGCGGAAAAAGTTTTTCCCCCTGTATGTGTTGCTTTGTGGTTCGAAAATCAGCTAGATTAAAATTCAATGAAATGTTTTACTTCGATTCATCATTAAATGGTCTCTCACATACCAAAGTGAAGTTCAAAGAAGTGCCACATTTGTTTAGTAATATTGAAGTGTCATATTTCACTTAAAGTTTAAAGATAGATCATAATTTGTCTAGCATTAAGTCATATTTTAAAATTTAAGTAAGCAAGGAAGAAGTGTGGGGATCAGATGATATGAAAGTGAGATCGACATACCTACAAACAGGGGAGACCTCTAATTAGTACGGAGTAGCTCTTAATTCACCGTGCTTACTGACTTCTTGATCTTGCTCCTTCCTCTGGGTGGTTGTCCTTCTAGGGATTATATACTCTCACGATATCTTATAAGTCTGATACATATGGTGGTGGGCTCACGAGAGTTATGTTGATGGTGGAGATAGGGTTCAAATAGTGATGCCACGTAGCAACTTATTGAGGCCAGGTGTAAATGTGTAATGTTTCAAATTTGGTCGCACAACACAAGAGTCTGAAATTACTGTGCGTGTACTCAAAAAATGCTTTTGTTTTTTACTGGACAGATATTTCAAAAAACAATACTCGGTTCTTCATATCTTTCAAATTATTTGGATTTTATTAATTCGTAAAAATCAGTTTCAACTCCAAAATATTCCAAATGATATGGGAAATTGAATGAACACTTACACAAAAGTTTGGGAATTCATTTTCAAATATTAATACGGAGTATAGGTTCTTTTTTTTAATACTAGTATTATTTTTGGAAGATCTGTAAAAATTACATGTACTACACTACTGGTCAGATCTCTAATTTGGTCGATCTTTAAGAAAAAGAAATTAAAATGGGAGTCTCTGGAAATATAAGTACAACAATAGCCTAAATACATTTAAAAAATACTCCATTCCATTGCATTGCATTACAACAAACATAGCCTAAATACATACGTAGTAATACATAGTACTCGTATATTTTAAATGTTTTCCCCTGTTCATTTACACAAAAAATGAAAGGCATTCCGCATGCTGAGATGTATAACATCTACTTTTAATCAGCAAGAATTAAAATTTTGCGATAAAAATGTAAAATTTCAGGGTCAATAACTTAGATCGAAAAGAAATTCTGTAATTGGTTCTCATTTTTACTTGCGATTTTAGTTTTAAATTTAACCTTATTGTAGATAATATTTGTCCGGCAATAGATTAAGAAATATATTTACAGAATTACAGATTCATATAGTTTTATACTTCGTATAACCACCAACGGTTCTATATAATCAGAGAGGAAATGTAAGACCGAAATCAGTAGGTTTATTACCTACGGCCCAAAATCATCAGATGGAGCAAGCCCTCTTCTTCGAGTACCAAGCTGGACTGGGCGGTCTTCCAAAGTATGGCAAAACCTCCTTTCTTCTGAGGGACCAAGCTGGTGTGATGGTAGCGGTTCAAGGTTTTCCGTCGAGTGTTAGGGAGTGTTAGTAATGGAAGTGTTAGTAAGTGTTGATACTAACACTTGTTTGGGAGAAAAATTAAAAGGTGTTAAGAAGTGTTAGTAAAGGTTAGGAAGTGTTAATAATAACCTTCCCAACACTTCAATTGTCCACTTTTTTAACACCCCGATTTGGAGTGTTTTGAGGTGTTGGACAATTATTACCCTTCTCATTTCCCCTAAAAACATAAAATGCTTTGACATCTCACTTCGAATCTCTTCACCGCAGGTCTGATGATCTGCCTTTTTCATCTCTTCTCCTTACTCGTTTCTTCTGGCTCAAGGTAAAATTATTAACACTTCATTTATTTGACTCTCCCAAATAAAATAAAATAATGTCTAACAAATACACTTCCCTTTCCTTTTGAACTCTTACTAACACTTCCATTACTAACACTTACAAACACTCCATCCAAACATGCCCTTAAGGAATGGGCGCTCAGACTGGTGTTATCAAGGTCAGGGATGCTTTGCTTTCTGGAGGTCGATATTTGGTGTTATCTTAAAGGGTGGTTGCTACATTGGGCTTTCTTGACCCATTAAAATGGAGTATAGTGCACTTTCCGTTAGAACTTTTGGGCTCTATTATGCCGGACAACGCGGGGACACCTTATGTGTGCAATTAGTCCGTTTAATAATTTTTAAGCAGCGTTCTATTTAATTGTTATTCTTTTCTTTAAGGTGTTTTGGGTAAGGTTTTATGTCCCCCGTTTGTAATTTGTTATGTATTTTAATAAAATGTGGTAAATGTTTCTCGACATTTATCCCACTGATGGATGATATGTCTATCGGGTTAAAAAAATCATCAATGGTATAAAAAAGCGAGTGAATAGATTTCATTTCAATAAGATCTATCTTTTTTCTACTGTTTAATGTGTATAGAAATCCGATTTTATTTTTTCAAAAAAGCTTATCTATTCGAGGCCAATGTTCTGTGTTGGAGAGGGATTATGAGGGTGTTTGAATCTGCTTCTTAAAACTGATTGTACTTCTTCAGGGACCATAAGTAGAAATGGGAGTATTTGAGTAAAGTTGCAGAAGTGCTTCTGAGTGCTTAAAATTGCTCCTAGACGCAGTTTTTTAGAAGTTGGGGGAGACCAGCTTTTGAAAAAATGATTCTGATTCCACTTCTACTTTAAAAAAAGAAGCAGAAGCAGATTTAATTCTGGAAAAAGTGTTTAATAGTAAAAGTTGGTAGTGTTTGAGAAAAAAGTGATTATGAAAAAGTAAAAGTTGGTAGAGTTTGATAAAATAAGTGCTTTTTGTGTAATAGAAAAAGTGAAAAAAAGTTTAAAGTACCTCTCAACCTGCTTTCGGCGTTTAGCTTTTAAGTGATTAATTTAAGGAAAAATTGTCACTTGAAAACACCAATTTCAACTTTTTTAAAGTCAAAAGCTGAAAAACGCTTTTTTTAATTTTTCACAAACACCCCTTTAGTAGTATGTACTCCCTCCGTTCCTAAATAAACTTCCAACTTTCATTTTTCGTCTGTTCCAATTAAAACTTCCACTTTCTCTTTTTGGTAAAAAATTTGTTGTTCACAACATTTCTTACACATTTCTCTCTCCTCTGCACAACTCTCCACCACACAATATCCACTATCTTAAACTTTGTGTCAAACCTATTTGGAAATTAAAATGGGAACGGAGGTAGTAATAATTATGGTGGACTAATTAGATATTTTTTTATTTTGATATTTGTTAAAACCTTAAAAACTAGAAACACGCATGTTATTTAAAACTATATTTAAAATATATTTCATTAATAAAATAGAGACAAAATAAAAGAGATTTATCAAAAATATTTCTGAAATAAAAAAAAATTATAAAAAATTAGTGGAATAACAACAATTTACAAAAATACTCCCTTCGTCCCTTAAAACTTTGTCATCTTTCCTTTTTGGGACGTCTCAAAAAACTTTGCCACTTTCCCTTTTAATCAATTATTTTGTGATTTCTGTTATTTCTCTCTCCTCTACACAAACCTCAGCCACACAGTTTTTACTTTATTATTCTCCGTACCGGTCAACTTTGGCAAAGTTTTAAGGGACGGAGGTAGTATGACTATAATTACTATGGATATAATGTCATTGTTACTTGGTGTGAAAATTGAACATAAGGTATACTCTCTTCGTCATTTTAACTTTTATCAATTTTTCTTTTTTGTTTGTCTCACTAATTTTGTCACTTTTCCTGTAAAGTAAAAAATCAAAAATGCTAGGTGTACACAAATGTGTACACCCTTCCACACCATATAAAACGGCTCTCGATTTTTGAAATGTCTTTTACCCAACCTTCTCTCCGGTTTCTCTCCTGTGTCTTCCGCTCCCCCCTCTTCCGCTTTATTTTTCCGTTTCAGCTCCATTTTCCCTTTCCTTCTCTTCTTCGTTTCAAAGGCTCTTTGCATTCATGGAGGTCTTAATCCTAATATAAGAGCACCCCATTTCTTTTACTTCTCGCTGTTTCGCATTTGAGTTGTTTTTTGTTTCTCTTCTCATCTCACGGAAACGCCGTAACCGAACAGCCCACAAAACTTTTGTCTTGGGGTCTGGTGAAGGTCAAGTGTACAGGGAGTGAAGTTCCGGTGCCCGGATGCCTCATCCCTCTCTTCTATCTCTCTCCCTTCCCTTCCAGTATGTCCCCTTCTTCCTTATTTCGTTTTTCTTTCATTTAATTTATTTATTTTTTAACTTCATGTGTTATATATGTAGTAATGTTGAATGTTTGATTATTTTGTGTCATTGTGATAAATTTGTGATGTTTAGTATTGAAACTTTTATCCAAATATTCCATGTCATTACTATGCCCATAACATGTTTGTTGAAATGATTCAATGAATTTTATATTTATGTGATACTATGTTCGATGACTAAGATTTTCTTTCATACTTGGGAGAAAGACTTGAATAAGACTAAAAGAAGTGTCATGTATCAAAATAAGTCTGAGAACTTTTTAAACCTTAAATAGGACTGATGGATGGTCTACCCGGGAGTATATATCCGAGGGATTATTACGGGGAATAACTTAGAGAGAAGTCAGAGCAAGTAAGTAAATGTAGAGAGAGAGTGTATTCAGTATGAATGCCGTTTTCAGCCTGGTTACAAATGAGGAAATGAGGTGCTATTTATAGTAGCAATAAATGCCGGGCAGGGACACGTGTCAAGCGCTCATTGGCCGAGGGGTCACCTCAACTGGTTGGCGCTGGCAGCCGCATGTGGCCGCATTTAATGCGGCTGTTGGATGGGACGTCTATGCGGGGTACGGTGATCTGTACGCATGTGAGGCGGATATCTTGTCGAGTGAGATGCCTTCGGCTATAGAGCAGTAGCCGAGGGCTCTTCCACCCGATGACACCCTGGTGCCGAGGGCTGACAGTGCCGAGGGCTACTGTTTTCGCCGTTTTCTCCCAGTTTCTTAATTTGCTTGAGAAACCCGTTCTGTGAGAATTTGGAGCCTTCGGCCAGGGGGCCGAAGGCACCCCTGGCGCGTAGTGCGGACTGCTTGGTACTTTGGGCGCTGTGGTTTGGGCATGTTGGGCCTCCTGGGCCTGTTGGGCCTTCATTGGTGTAGTAGGAGTCTGTGGGCCGGGGGTTCCCGGGCCATATACTCCATCAGGAGTCCCTCACTCCTTTTGCCGAAAGGTACTTGAGGGAAAAAGAGTAATTTGTGCTTGCCCTTTGATGTTGTCCCGTCGTGATCTCTGAAGTTGGTGAAGAGTTGTTGCTTTTATGTCCCTGCCGAAGGCAGTCCCTCAGTTACCCACATGTCGGGACTTGAGGGCTTGCTTTGTTGTTTGTTGGAATTTCTACATCTTTTGTAATTTAATGATTTTCCCGAGGGGGTCCTCCAGTCCCCCACTCCTTGAGGCACTTGTAAAGTGGTGAAAAGGAGTAGAGTAGTTGCGTTGCTATTGTGGGCCGAAGGCTGTCGTCTTTCGTTTCATTTTGGGGGGATGCCTCGTTAAAAACCTCATTAGGAAAAAACCCTTTGGGAAAAAATCCTAATGAGGGAAAAAGAGTGCACCGAATTCCCCCAATGATGAATTGAAAATGTCAAACCTTGGTAAAAAATGGAGAATGACGGGAATGCCGAAGGCTCTCTCTTCTGAGGGCTCCTGTGTTGATTAGCCGAAGGCTTGCTGTTGATGTCCTGGTGGCACCGAAGGGGAGCCCCTCAATTCGGGGATCGAGGGCCTGCTGGATGAGGGCTGTAATGGAGTTGTTACCGGGGGGTCCACTGCTTGTTGATTAGTTGGTGGTGAAGATACCCGAGGGCTCCCATTACCTGTGTGCCATGGGTCATCCGTCAATGAGGCAACTCCCCGGGGGCTACCCGAGGGGTGCCCTGATATGAAGCCCTGGGTTTCTGAAGGAGTGATCTCGAAGGCGTCTGTTATGTGCTGTGTGGGGCACGACCCGGGGGCACTTCTGAGTGAGTGTACCCGGAGGCTATCCTTGATGAAGTGGAGTGAAGTAGAAAACCCGGGGACTTCCAGAATATAGCCGTTGGAAATATAGCCGTTGGAATATGTAACGACAGGATATAGCCGTTGGGGGGGTTGGCACACGTGGCGTGTGATGGCTGGCTGTTCGTGGGCGGCGTCACCGGTTGGGTGAAACGACGGTGTGTAATGATGACGGTCCGTCCGAAGGCCCGGTTTCCGGGCCCAAGCCCGGATTCCAGCGCCTATAAATACCCCAAGGCCAGAGCCATTTCCCCTTGTGCGATCATTTGTCTTAGCGAAGCTCTGCCCAAAATTCTAGTGAGAGAAACTCAGGCCTTCGGTCACAACTTCTGCTTTCAAGGTCAGTGCCCGCTTTCCCTTCACCTCTTAGCTACCTGTACTGTGCCCTTAGGTTAGGAGATAGAAAATTTAGAAAACACTAGCGTCTACGAGCCTTCGAACTAGAGTCAGCATGTCGTCCCAGAGTGATTCTCAAGATATCTCGGGGGCGCCCTCGGTGGAGGATGAAGTCCTCTCGGACGTGGAGTCCTCAAGTGCAGAGTCTTCGGTGGGACAGGATGCCGTCGTTGCCTTGGAGTTGCAGAAAGCCCTCGTAGCTGAGGTGGAAGCCGAGGGCTTTGAGCAAGAATGTGAGGACGAAGAGTTGGCCCTCGCCTGGCAAGCAGCTGAAGAGGAGGCATAAAGAGAAAACGAGAGGGTCACCGTTGCTGTGCTCCCCCCTCGGGGTGCCGGGGAGGCCAGCACCTCTCGGCCGCTGAATGCGGTCCCCATCCGGGTGGCCCCCGGAAAGAAGAAGGCCAAGGCCGCTGCTCCTAAGAAGAAGGGCAGCGTAGCAGACCAAGGGAAGCCCCTCGTTATGCCCGAGGGGTACTCCTATCTCAACACAGCCGCATTGGAGATCAATTCGAAGGTTGATGCGGCGGACATATATGTCACCCAGCTTCACGTGGGCCCCTCGGCCATCGTGGTGACACCGGGTCCGGATGACGTCCTCTCCCGGGCTCCCGAGGGCTGCATTGCGGTGCACGTTCTCTCAGTATCCATGGGGCTCCGCTTCCCCCTGCACTCCTTCCTCCGGGAGTACCTTCGGTTCGTGGGTCTGGTTCCCTGCCAGCTGACCCCGAACAGCCATTCTTATATCACTGGCTTCCTTCAACTTTGCAAGTCCCGGGGGGTGACGCCTAGCATGGACCTCTTCTTCCAGAGCTTCAACCTGTGCCGGTGGGGGGGAGGGGCACGCGAATGCCGAGGGATTCGCCAATTTGCAGCAGGTGTCCGTGTTCAAACTCTTCACTGAGGCGCCCTCCTCGAACAAGGGGTGGAAGGACCGGTGGTGCTATGTGAAGCTAGCCGAGAGCCCCTTCCCGAGGGAGTTGCGTGACCGCTTCAGGAGGCACGAGAAGAGGAGGAGCGCCGCCCTCGAGAAGGATGACAGGATTCTGGCCATGATCCCGGAGGGACGGGACAAGAATATCTCCATCAAGGAGTGCACCAAAGAAGCAGATCTCTACACCCTCGGGTTCCGGCGGTACCGGTTCCTGGGGGAAACTGATGAGAAGTTCCCAGTGTTTGAGGGAGCCTCCGGAGGTAGTAGCTGAGGGCATTCTCACCCTCCTATCTTAGCACGTTTGTTCATTTGCTCTGTTAATTCTTTATGCCACTTAGTAGTGACCCCTCGATCCTAACCCCTCATTTTTTTGCAGGTGTTCCAGTAAGCATGATGAACGTCAAAGGCCTCGCCCGATTCAAGAATAAACCGGCCAAGGATCCGAAGGGGCCGGACGCTGGCGGCCAAAAGCCCGTCGGTGCGCCTCAAAAAGCCCGAGGGCGATGCTGCTGCGGCAAAGAGAAAGCCGTCGGCAAAGGAGCCCCCCCAGGCCCCCAAAAAGTTGAAGAAGGGGGACGCCGCGAAGGATGACCCCCCGGTGGTGATTGTAGATGACCCTCCGGAGATGCCGATGGCGCAGGTGCCGAGGGGTGTCCGGGAGCCATCTCTCGAGGTCCTCACGCTCTCCCTCCCGGCTGGCACGGCCGTGTTGAATGGCACGGCTGACCCGAGGGCGCTCCTGAGGGGTATAACCCTCGATATCGACAGGGCCGCTCTCGGGGCCGATGATGATCAAGCCCTTGAAGACAGGATCCTCCGGTCTTCCCTCACGGTGAGTTCACTATAGTTTGTCTTTCTGTTTCCCACTTTGAACTAAGAAATCATGTTCGGCCCTGACAACTCGTTTATCTTTGCAGACTTGCGTTGCCCTCGGGGAGCAGTTCCGACGGCTGGAGGAATGGCGCCTCCACAAAGATGGGCAAGACGCCAAGATGAAGGAGCTGATCCTCAGGGATTCCCAGGCCACGAAGCTGATGGCCCAGCTTGAAGAGGACCTCCAGCTTGCGAGGGCGGAGGCCGGGAGGCTTAGGGAGGAGAAGGCAGAAGCTGAGGCGGCCGCTGCGGAGGCCGCAAGGAGAGCAGCCGAGGAGGCCGAGGCCATCAAGGCGAAGGCTGTCGCCACAGCCCGGGAGGACACCATCTCCGGGTTCCTGGACGGGGGGTGGAAGACCGAGGGGCACAAGGCATGGCTGTCCTCGGTTGTTGAGGCCTCGGTTGATGAGTGGTCCGAGGGCCTGGGGGAGGAGTGGATGGCCCGGAAGGGTAAGCAGTATTATGATGGGGGTGAGTTCTTCACTCAAGCCCTCATCTACCGGAGGATGGCCCGCCATCTGAAGATTGAGCCGAAGGACTTTGACCCGGCGGCGTACGGGCTCCCCCCTGCAGCCAGACATCCGTGTTCCTCTTCCCCCTGATGTCGAGAGGCCAGACCTGGAGGATTCCGAGCTCCGGAGGGAAGCCGAGGGCGACGATCCTGAGGCCGATGTAGAAGTCACCTCGAAGCCATCGGGGGAGGCGGCCCCCGGGAATGACATTATTTGATATGTACTCTGTATTATGTAAACATGTATTTGTAATGGTGACATTATTCATCCTTCGGCTTCGGCCTGCTTGTAACATTTATTCGTAATCACATTTGCCATCTGTTTGTTGATGATTGAATGATTGCCTTCGGGCTGTGTTTATATGACTTGTTTTCTCCAATTCCTTTCTTCTTGAATGTATGCCTCCGTTTTCCTTGAGTGTATGCCTTCGGTATTTTTGAATGTATGCCTCCGCTCCTTTGAATGTGTGTTTTAGGACTTAGAGTATTTTCTGATTGTAGCTTGCCCCTGGAAGCCTTCGGTAGTTGGGCACCCTCTGTTGGATATGCAACCGAGGGTTCAGCAGCAATTAGGACTTAGAAATTTTTCCTAAGTGTAGCACAGCATGAGGCCTTCGGGCGTCTGTAGCAACCCAAATCCTAGGACTTAGAAAAATTTCTAAGTGTAGATTTCCCCTTGAGAGCCTTCGGAATGTTGGACCGATGGCCCAATGTACAGGACTTAGAATTTTTTTGCAAGTGTAGTACGTCACGTAGCCTTCGGCTATTGTGGAGCCTCAACTGAAATATTGAGTAGGCCGGGGGCCAATTCTTTAGGACTTAGGAAATTTTCTTGAGTGTTGATTCCTTGTGTACTGTAGCCTTCGATTGATAGGCAGCCTTCGGCAATTAGGTCCCTTGAGATGAGGGTGAAATATGTAGGACTTAGAAAATCTTCTAAGTGTAGAGTTTCCCTTGGGAGCCTTCGGGAGATGGCATCCCTCCATGATGTATGAGTAGTTGACCGGGGGGGGGGGGGGGATATGCAGGACTTAGAAAATATTCTAAGTGTGGATTTTCCCTTGGGAGCCTTCGGGAGATGGCATCCCTTCTTGATGTATGAGTAGTTGACTGGGGGAAAAACATGTAGGACTTAGAAAATATTCTAAGTGTGGATTTTCCCTTGGGAGCCTTCGGGAGATGGCATCCCTTCTTTATGTATGGCCTTCGATTGTCATATTCCTCTAGCTGCAATACTGATTGAGCCGGGGGCCCATCTTTAGGACATATAATTTTTTTGTTTGCAAGTGTTGTTGTATCGCATAGCCTTCGGCTATCGTATTCCCCTGGCTGTAATGTTGATTGAGCCGGGGGCCCAATTTTCAGGACTTAGAATTTTTCTTTGCAAGTGTAAAGTGATGTCAAGCTTCCAGGTGTAGAGCCCTCCGGATACATGAACGGGACCCTTCGGGTGATCGTGGGCCCCTTGAGTTGTTGTGGAATCCTGTTGTTGTGAAGAAAGCCAATGATGAGTGTGTGCCCTCGGCATACACTTTAAAATTTGCAGATTTTGACCTTTGCTGAAGCCTTCGGTGTTTGTGTGACCGGAGGTGGCCAGGCAGTGGACTTAGCCGTTCCTTGCTGCTATTCGTTCGAGTAGTATCCTTCGGGAAATAGGAGCCTTCAATTACCGGAGGTGTCCCCGTGGGGAGCCCTCGGGATGTTGTGATCTGTTGGAGTGTACTCTTTGATTTCTCGCTGAGTCTACTCTCCTTCACCCCCCCTCCCCCCCCTTTTTTTTTTGGTTGGTGGTGAAGGGAAGGCATCAAGAAACTTGGTTTCTTGGTAAGGCTGGGCCTATTAGGAGGCCATCAGAATACACCAATGGCTCTCCTCCCTCGGGTGAACCTTCCGAGTTCCGAGGGGATCGAGGGACGTTTCCTGGGCACAAGATATGGTGGTCCGTAACCTGCCTCCCCTTGGGGGATGGCGCGGAAAGCGCCTCATTTTTGAAAGTCGTCCCCTCGGCGCTAGACATAGTCCGTGGCCTGCCACACCCTTGGGGTGGTGGCGCGGGGAGCGTTTCGGTTTGGAAGTCGAATCCTGGGCATTTCTCATGCCTGTCATACCCTGGGGGTAGTGACGCGGATAGCGTTCCGTTTTTGAAAGTCGAATCCTGGGCATTTCTCATGCCTGTCATACCCTGGGGGTAGTGACGCGGAAAGCGTTTCAAGGAAGGGTTTTCATTTGCACACTAGTTGCAAATGGCCGGGGGCACTACGTGCCGCCGACACCGATGGTGGCGCCTTCGGTATATGCGTCCTCGTGGGGTACGGCTTTTAGAAACAACACTTGGTGTTAGTTTCGATGTGTAGCCCCCGGTACTTGGTACCGAGGGGTCTTCTGTAGGAACACTTGGTGTTCTCTTTTGTCGTAGTTGATGTAGGCGTCTACCCTCGGTACTTGGTACCGAAGGGTCTTCAAATGAAACACTTGGTGTTTCCCAACAGATGTTTGGTAGTTGACAGAAGAGCATATCCCTTGCACTGGGTGCCGAGGGGTCTTCTTTGAAACATTTGGTGTTTTTTTTTTTTGCGTTTCGATGTTTGATGATGGGGGTGTACCCTCGGCACTGGGTGCCGAAGGGTCTTCTGTAGGAACACTTGGTGTTCTCATCTTTTCTTTTTTGATGTTGAAGGTGGGGATGTACCCTCGGCACTGGGTGCCGAAGGGAAATAAAACACATGGCGTTCCTTGTTGTTGGTGATAGGAGTTCCCTCCCTCGGTACTTGGTACCGAGGGGTCTTGACTGAAAACACGTGGTGTTTTCACTGTTTGTTGTAGGTGTTGATGGTGTCCTCCCTCGGCACTTGGTGCCGGAGGGGGTTCTTCTCGTGGTGAGGCCTGGGGCTTGTAGTCAGTATGAGGGCTTGATGTCTTGAATGTATCTTCATTCTTCGAAATTGGAGGCCTTGGGCCATAGGATAGTACATTCACTAGTTATGAGGGCTTGGCCGCTCTTACATTATTGATAAAATTTAACTAAATGGTGTACATTCCAGTGCCTAGGGACTTCTTTCCCATTGGGGCGTTTGAGCTTGTAGGTCCCGGGTTTGATGATGGCTGCTATGATGTAGGGGCCTTCGAATTTTGGTGCCATTTTTCCTCCCTCGGTTGGTTGGCTGGCTTCCCTCCTCCGGAGGACATAGTCCCCCACTTGAAATTCTCGGGTGCGAACTTTGGCGTCGATGTAGCTTTTAACTTGCCTTCGGTAGTTTCCTGCCCGGATGAAGGCCTGCTCCCGGCGTTCTGAAATGAGGTGGAGGTCGAGGGCCATGTTGCTGTCGTTGACCTCGGGATCATATTGGATCACCCTTCGGGTAGGAAGGGTGACTTCCGTAGGAGCTTTGGCTTCAAAACCGTAGCAGAGGGAGAAAGGTGTTTCTCCTGTTGCTCGCCGAGGGGTGGTGTGGTAGGCCCAAAGGATGTTGTGGAGTTCTTCCACCCAGCCACCACCCTCGGCCTCTAGCTTCCTTTTGAGGCCCTCGAGCAAGGTCCGATTGGCGTTCTCTACTTGCCCGTTGCCTTGAGGGTAGGCAACGGAGGAGAAGGTGTGTTTGATGCCCCATGCCTCCAGAAGGGCACAAAAGAGGGCTGCCTCAAATTGTGTCCCATTGTCGGAGATGATCTGCTGGGGGACGCCAAACCTTGTGAGGATGTTCTTGAGGACGAAGTGACGACACTTCGCCTCTGTGATGCTGGCGAGGGGTTCAGCCTCCACCCATTTGGTAAAATAGTCGACGGCCACAATGATGTATCTGTTGTTGGAGGTACCCCTCGGCAGAGGGCCCACAAGGTCTATCCCCCATCGAGAAAATGGGACAGAGGTGCTGATGGGGGCATAGTTGACCGCTGGCCTGCCGGGAGCTTTCTGGAAATGTTGACATGCGGTGCACCTCCGGGCAAGGTCAGCACAATCCCTGGCCATGGTTGGCCAGAAGTAGCCCTGGAGAATGAGCCTTCGGGACATGGAGAAGGGTCCCTGGTGAGCTGAGCAAGTGCCACTGTGCACTTCCTCCATTGCGACCTCGGCTTCATCTGGATGAAGGCACCGAAGTAGCGTGCCATTGTAAGATCGTTTGTAGAGCCTTCCATCTTCGATGGTGTAGCTGGGAGCCCTCAGCTTTGCCAGTTTAGCGCGGGCCTCATTCTCGGGTAGCTGCCCTGTGGAGATGAAGGCGGTGATATCTGAGATCCAATCCTCATGACGTTGTTGTATGTTCATAACGGGGCTTGCATGGATGCTTGAGAGGCTGAGTTCCTCGATTTTGGCAATTTTGGAGATGTGCTCGGGGGAGTCGGCCGAGAGCTTAGATAATATGTCGGCCTCGGAGTTCTGAGCCCTCGGTATTTGAGTGAGAGAGTGTGCCTCAAATACCTTAAGCAACTCCTTGGCCGCTTCCTTGTACTGTTTCATTCTCCCCTCCTTGGCCTCATATTCTTCGGAGATTTGGCCAACGACCAACTTGGAGTCGCATTTGATGTGGATCTGCCGAGCCCTCATGTTGGCAGCCAGCCGAAGGCCACGTAGGAGGGCCTCATATTCGGCCTCATTGTTGGAGACCTTGAAGGAGAAGCGGATTGCATAGTAGGCCCTGAAGCCCTCGGGAGTAATGAGGACTACCCCTCCCCCGCATGCTTTGGTCGCGGAGGAGCCATCAGTGTAGAGGGTCCACCAGTCGTCCGAGGTAGCCGAGGGCTCCCCGTCCGTGGCTGCCCTTGCGGTACATTCCGTCACAAAGTCCGCCAGGGCTTGGCCCTTGATGGCAGACCTTGGACGGATGTCAATGTTGTACTGGCTCAAGAAGATAGCCCATTTCACCATGCGGGAGGAGCTGATGGGGCTCCTCATGAGGGCGCCGAGGGGTTGATGGGTGAGGACCTGAACCGGGTGAGCCTGAAAGTAGTGGCCCAACTTCTTGACAGTCCAAACGATGGCTAACACCGTTTTTTCCACAGGGGAGTACCTGAGCTCGGCCTCCCTTAGGGTCTTGCTAACGTAGAAGATGGCATGTTGGATGCCGTCTTCCTCCCGGATGAGCACAGAGCTGATGGCCGCCAGGCTAACCCCAAGGTAGAGATAGAGGGTCTCCCCTACCTTTGGTTTTGAGAGCACAGGGGGTGAAGATAGATATCGCTTGAGTTCGTTGAAAGCCCCCTGGCATTCCGGAGTCCATAGAAAGCCAGCCGTCTTCCTCATGATCTGAAAGAAGGGTAGAGACTTCTCCGCTGATTTAGATAGAAAGCGGTTGAGGGCTGCCAGGCGGCCCGTCAACCGTTGAACTTCCTTCACATTGCGTGGGGGCTCCATGTTGATGATGG